CCATGGCTGCACATGAGAATCACCTGGGAATGTTTTTAAAATCCTGATTTCTGGGCCTCATCCTCCGGAAATTCTGTTTCTTTGTTATGGGGTGGGGCCACAACATTAGTAACAAAGAAACAATTTCCGGAGGATGAGGCCCAGAAATCAGGATTTTAAAAAGATTCCCAGGTGATTCTCATGTGCAGCCAAGGTTGAGAACCACTGGTCTAGAGAACGGTGAACACACGCACACAGGCCTGTCCCAGCAGTTCGGGGCCGAGGGGCCACACGGAAGGTGTCGCAGGGACACATGGGGTCGCCCTGGGGCTGCCCAACAGGGCGATAGGAAGGGGAGATGGGAGGCTGTGAAGGGCACCCGTCGGCTTTCTCGGTCTCTGGTGACATGATCTGAGTGGGCCCCTGCGGAGGTGGGGGTGGGAAACCAACTAGACTTCCTATACATGTTCAATCCTCCCTGTTTTCAAAGGGGAAAGGGGTCCTTTTCCACGGGGTTTGTGCACCACTGACCTCTCACGACAGGAAGTGGAGCGTGACCATCCTGTGGTCCTTGGGAGATGCGGACAGCGCTCCTGTTCCTGGCGGTGTGACATGGGGTTAGGTGGTGGGCGCCTGCCTGGTAATTAACACTGGCTTTTCTTCCATTGCAAGGTACGGACATTGTGGCGGGAGAAGAAGTTGCCATCAAGCTTGAATGTGTCAAAACCAAACACCCTCAGCTCCACATCGAGAGCAAAATCTACAAAATGATGCAGGGAGGAGGTATGGCCTTGACCTGCTAAGAGACAACTAGGGGGCTTGGGGGCAGCATCCGGACCAACGCCTCTGGCTTGTTTGGGGAAAGGGAGGAAAATGCCCACACCTGGACCCAGCTGTCAGGCGGGCTGCAGAGGCCTCCTCACTTGGACTTCGGGCTCAAGCACTGCTTCCCTGGTCTGCACGGGACAGTGTCTGAGCTCAGGGCCGGCGTGGGCTTTGACTCCAGCACTGCTGGTCATTCTGTGCCAGCTGGGTCACATGGTTTGTTCACAAGCTGGGGTGGGGGGTGACTTCAGACTTTTCTGAGTGAAGCTACTGCAACCCCTTTGAGCTGAATTAACTGTCCCAATTCTGTCCCCAACCTCCCCGGGGGCCTAAGGGTCCTGATGCAAAGGGCACCCATCCTGACCTCAGAGTCTAACTTTTAGAATTTTCTGGAGTTGAAAATAATTTCGCAGATGGAGCAGGAGGTAGGGTGTATAAGGGAGTCTCCATTGTGGAGGCGCTGCAGCCTGGAGAGGACTGTCTGCTGCTCCCCAAGGGACCTGGGCGCAGGGCCTTGGGAAGGATGCTGCGCTGCTTCTCCTTGGAAGCCCCGGGGCGCTTCTTGGGGGGCACTCCCCGGGGCTCCCTGCAGGGCTGTGACCTCTTTCCTCACAGCAGCGGGGTCTCTGCTGCTGCTGCTGGAAACCAGCACTTGGTGCAGCACAGGTGTCTCTAGCAACAGAGACGAGCAGAGCAGCACACGGTCCTGCTTGGCCCTGCACAGGCTGTCCACGTGTCCCTCCTGCGCTTATGGGAGCAGAGAGGCCTTCGGCTGGCACACGGGTGAAAACTTTCTGCCCCTGTCGTCCCAGGGAGAGGCCCGCAGAGGACCTGGCCAGGGTGCTTGCCCACCAGCGGCCGCAGCAGAAGGAAGTTTCTCAGGCACAACTTTTAAGGTGGTGACAGGTAGAACGAGGTGACTCAGGATGTGGCCTTCATGGGGGGCAGGAGCCTGGTGCTGGGGGTGGAATAGAACCTCCCAACTTAAAAGCCTTGTTGACTGTTAAGGAGCAGCACCTCTGAACTCCCAAGCTAGGGCACCCCTGTCATCTGCACAGGCAGGAGCACCCCTCGCCCCGGCCGGAAGGATCAGACACGTCTCTAGACGGAGCTCAGTGCCTGGGGCCAGCACTGCTTCCCGCCAGAACCCTGCTTTAGGAGCCGGTGCCACTGCTCCCAGTCTCCCCTGGCCCTTCTCCACACAGATCCGGGTTCCCCCAGTTTCAGACGCACCCTCAGTGGCTGCTATCCAGGTGTAAGACTTGTGTTTTACTTCATTTTTTAATTTATTTTTTTGTTAATCCTCGTCTGAGGATATTTTTCCATTGATTTTTAGAGAGAGTGGAAGAGACAGGGAGAGACAGAGAGAAACATCGATGTGAGAGAGATATCGTTTGGTTGCTTCCTGCACATACCCCGACCGGGGCCGGGGATCGAGCCTGCCACTGAGGCAAGTGCCCTTTGACCAGAATCGAACCTGGGACCCTTCAGTCCGCAGGGTGACGCTCTAGTCACTGAGCCACACCAGCCACAGGGCAGACCTGTGTTTTAGAGAAATTGTATCCAGAAAAGCGAGCGCCTCCTGGGAGTGTTCTGTGAACTCACTGACCGCGACCGAGACCACGCTGCGCCCGGCAGAGAGGAAGTGGGCATCGCTTTGCCCAGAGAGCAGGGGCTCTGCTGTTCACCAGCCTCTGCATGCGTCCCCGTGGGCACTGCAGGTCGCTGATTGCTGACCCGGGGAAAGGGTCAGCGTGTGGTCCACAGGGACAGCAGGTGAGGAGTGAGCACCAGTCCAGCAAAATGCACCGCAGCTCACTCTGCAGGTCCCCAACCACAGGGGTCTGGAAAAGGTCAGATAAGCCCATGCTTCCCTCTTCTCCTCATAAATTCAAGATTTCACACCAAGCTCTGGTTCCTAGCAGTGAATCCAGAGCTGTATTCGTCTGTCTCCTAGGAAGCAGCCTTGTGTCGACTTTGACAAAAGTTTCTTGCAACTTCATCTTCCCTTCCTTCCTCTCTCGACCCCTGTCTACTGGCAGCCCCCTCCCCCTGCCCTTGGACTAGAGGTTAAAGCAGCTCTGATCCATCTAAAGGCAGGTGTGCCGGCATGAGTCCCATCAAGGAAGGATGGTCTGACCTCAGGAGGCTGGGAGCAGTGGATGGACTATTTCCAGCTTTTTCAGAATGTGACACAAATCATTGAAGCGTTATGGAGACTCCCAGAAATTAAATGTGTAGAAGTGTGGTCTTTTTCTTGGGGGAGGGAGGAATAGAGGATGGGGTTGGGGGCGGATAGGAGTCCATTTTTAGGACAGACCTGGTCCAAATAGGAGACAGGGAAGAGTGCCCTGGCCAGTGCGGCTCAGCTGGTTGGGCGGCGTCCTGGGCACCAGAGACTGCCGGTTCGCGTCCCTGTCAGGGCACATGCCCAGTTTGCGGCTCGATCATCCAGTCGATGTTTCACTCTTAACAGCAGTGTTTCTGCCTTCCTCTTTCTTCCTCTCTCTCTAAATCAATAAAAGTATTTAAAAATAAAATAGGGAAAGAGGAGACAAAGAAGACAGGAGGGCTCAGGACCCTGCTCCAAGCAAGCCTGTGTTTCAGATTTTTTGCGTGGTGTGACCCTCCTGGCAAAGATGCTCTGGCGAGTCTTCCCAGTAGAGGAGGAGCATGTAAACAGTGAAGCCCAGGACACGAGAAAAGCAACACGTTGTCTTTACACCAGCCGGGCCCACCTGGTGGCCAGTCTCCAAGTCCTGGCGCCTCGACCTGGTGGGCGGCGGAGCAGGATCAGACTCCTGTCGCCCGATGTGCTGCTGCACTCGTCCTTCCCGACCCGGGAGCCAGCACGCAGGCTGCACCCTGTTCTTCCGCAACGGCACCCTCTGCTGTTGGGCACCTCGGGCCACACCGGGAAGGTTAAGGACCAGGCCCTGCTTCCTGTAGCCAGCAGCCTTTGGGATGGGTGCAGAGGTCTTAGAACATCGGACCAACTCAGGGTTTTACAGACACGTGAGCCCTGTGACGTGGGAGGCCTGGCCCCCCAGGCAGGACCTGGTGGGGGAAGCGGGTCTGAACAGGAATCCTTCCTCGCCTGTCCACACCCTCGTCTAGCCTCCTCCTGTTCACACCCATTGCCATTCTCCCAGGAGGAGGTGACATCCTGAGGCCCCTGGTAAAACCGCCTCCTGTGATACATTGAAGATGTGGGGCTTTCAAGAGGGCACTGCCCGAGAAGCAGCTCCAATTGGCAAAGTCAGCTGGTTGGGTAGGCTGTGCGCTCCGATAGGTGGTCTCCATGGTGACAGGACACCATGTTCTTGCTGTGCAGGCCTGAGCGGCTGCCGACTCAGCCCTCACATTGCACATGGGCCGGAGAACAAGCAGTGCAGAACATGTACGTCAGGAAGAAAGCGGGTCGCGCAAGATGTGTCCGCACACCACTGGGGCTGCTGGCCTGGGAGCGTGGACCACAGTGCAGTTGTCCCAGTGAGCAGCATAGAGTGGTGTTGGCTGGAGTGGGGTGCACAGGAGTGTAGGAGCAGCAGACCTGCAGCTGGTCCCCAACCACCCCCTTTTGTCTCATCCTGACCCACTGGCCGGGGCAGCTCAGCACTTGACCCCAGAGCGAGGAAGCCAGTGGTGGAAAACCCTGCTCGGAGACCCTCCCTCCCAGAGAAGACAGGGCTGGGGGTTGGGCCGTCACTGCTCTCACCCCTCATTGCTTCACTCCGCACAGGCAAGGTCCTCCTCTCTTTCAAAGGAAAACAGCTTCCCTATTCAGGCCGCTTCCAGCTGAGTTTCTGGGGTGTCCCTGACGCCCGCGGGGCACCTGCACAGGATGGCTGGCGTGCCTGCTCCCCTTGCAGGGGGAGGAGGAGGATGCTGTGGACCCTGCTCAACGCAGTATCCACCCTTTCCACTCTCCATGCTCCTTGAAACCCGGCCGTGGGGCCGCCTCGTGGGGCAGGGCTGTGGCGCTTCCTTCCCAGCGGTAGGCTGGCTTGGCTCTCCCTGTGAGCTGTAGCTGGTGCTCTGGTGGGAGGGGCACCTCTGAAGCTGGAGGTCCAGCTTGGTTCTTTGGCACAACGGTGACCAGGGGCCCTCCACCTGCGGCCCGCGGGCCACATGCAAATACAAATCTTGTATTTGTTCCCGTTTTGTTTTTTTACTTCAAAATAAGATATGTGCAGTGTGCATAGGAATTTGTTCATAGTTTTTTTTAAAACTATAGTCCAGCCCTCCAGCGGTCTGAGGGACAGTGAACTGGCCCCCTGTTTAAACAGTTTGAGGAGCCCTGGTCTAGACCTCCACAGCTGTGGTGCTTGTCTCCGTCTCCTTCCATCTTCTACCCCTGGGACAGAACACCTACCAGGGCCAGTCGCTGGGGAGATTCCAGGCCCTTGGAGTTCTGGACACCCACCTCCATTGCCTCGCGCTCCTTCAGGCTCAGTGCACCGGGGTCAAGCGTGGTCATGGCGTAGACAGGAAGCCTAATCCCGTGTGCATGGTGACCCACTTACGGATGCCAGCCCCGTGCAGCAGCTGCGGCTCCCAGCACCTTGGCACGGCCACCTGCAAACTGCTGGGTGGACATGGAGCCCACAGTCTGCTGAGCCCCAGGGTCCTGGTCAGATGGCTGTTGGCCCCTGAGAAGTCCAGAAACTGAAGTGTAATTACTTTTCTTAATGTGATTGATTTTTTAGAGGGGGAGAGAGAGAGAGAGACATTAGTGTGCCTCCTGCACACTCCCTACTGGGAATTGACCTCACAACCCAGGCCTGTGCCCTGATCAGAAATTGAACTGGCAACCTCTTGGTGCAAGAGTTGACACTCAACCACTGGGCCACACTGGCCGAGCTGAAGTTTAATTCTTAAGTTTAGCCAAATACAAACCATCGGTGACTAGGAATAAGTCTTGAGCCACATAAGACCTGTGTGCAGAAAATGCAAAGCTGGCTGGAGGGCACTGCAGACGACTTCCAAGTGTTCCTGGTTGAAGCCTCGGGTGTCGCTCCTCCCAGGGCGCCTCGGCCAGCCGGGTCCCGTCCAGGCCCAGCAGCATGTCTCCCACATGACAGGCTGACTCGAGAACTCGGGCGACCGCCAAGGTCCGAGACTGACTGAATGCTCCTGAGGAAGGCATGTGCCCTGAGAAGATCAAAACTCAGGCCCGAAGGAGTGAGCATGCCTGGCATCCAGATAATGGCTTCTGGTGTCATTTCTCACAGGAGCCTGGTCTCACAAGGGCTGGGCAGGAGGAGGTGAGGCAGTCAAGCAGGCTATGTGTGGCTCAGGGAGAGCTCTCAGGCCAGTGGGCACATGTCCAGAGGACACAGGAGCAAGCTTGGAGGGGCATCTGTTGGCCAAACTTGGGATAACGGGAACCTCAGAACTAGTAACTCCAGCCCCCGGGAGAAGGGAGGAGCATTCATGACTCCAGAGTGTGCGCTCACACAGGAAGCTCCACAGAAAAATGCAGAGGAAGCAATCGAGTGGGAATTGCCGCTTTGTTGATTGGTCCCAGCAGGAGTCACCGATGCCTGCAAGCACCTTCAGGGAGCGGGTCTGACCCCACCCCGAAGCTTCGCCCACAGAGGACGGTAACGGAGAGTGGATGGCGAAGAGCCGGCAGGCAGCAGCTGACAAGGGGTCCGGCCAGCAAGCAGGCACATCCAAAGTGGTCCTGCAACGCTGCCGAGCACCAGAGGTCTGTGGTGACCACACACCACAGGTGGCCCTGATGGGACCTGGGTGGGGTGGGGGGGCACAGCTTCTGGGACCCATTTTGGCCACAGTGGTGCTGCCCCCACACAGACAGGAACGGGCCTGGGAACTGACCCGCAAGACCAGCCGTGGGTGCTGTGCAGATGTCATTCCGGTGGGAGAGGCCTCGTGAGCACGAGGGCAATGGGCGTGTGCCTCCTCACCAGGAACCACCTCCAGAGTGAGGCTGGAAACGTTTATTTTTTAAGTCGGCTTCACTGAGGTGTAATCAGCTGCGTGTATTTTAAGTGTGCAGTGTGATACGTTCTGCCGTGTTGATGCCCTCATGGAACCATCTCCGTGACTGGGGGAGTTGCTGTCTCCATCACTCCCAGAAGTTTAGGTCCCCCTTTGTCCCTCCACTCCCTCCCTCTGTTGCCAAGTCACCAGTCCTCTGCTGCCGTCGGGTTGGTCTGCCTTTCCTAGTGTCTCGAAGGGAGCAGACCTGTGCTGGACGCGTCTGTGCTGTGCGTCCCAGGTGTCGGGCACGCCCACCGCTGCTGGGACTTCTCGCAGGCCCTGTGGGTGCTGGTTTCCTTTTCTCGTGGTCAGCAGCCGGCTTGGGTGGTTGTGCTCTTCAGGTTGTCCATTTTGTCCGAGTTGGAGTTCCTGGCGCGAGGCAGTTCCCATGCCTCCTATCAGCCTGTGGACGTTCGCAGTCTCGTTAGCCCGTCGCCTGGATGGCGGTAGTTTGTATCTCCTCTTCCCTAGCAGTCTGACTAGAGGTTATCGAAAGTCTTCTCAGAGAGCCAGCTTTTGGCTTCAGTAAGGTTCCTGTTTCATTGATTTTCTCCTGTGACCTTTTATTTCTGCTAACTTTGGGTTTCTTAGGTTTTCAGATAGAAACAGATCATTGATCTCTTTCTAGCACAGGTGTTCACTTGCTGCAAATTCCCCCAAATACGACTGTTGCAGCGTCTCCTGAGTCCTGCTGTGTTGGGTCCCCATTTCACTTAGCCCCACACGCTTTCTAACCCCTTCTGATCTCCCCCTGGATCCGGGGCCGTTTACTGTGGTGCCTGTGTGCCAAGCGCGTTTGTTCTGCTCCCAGCAGGAAGGCTTGTCTGCCTCTGACATCCTGGCCTCGTTGCCCCTCCCGGGCTGGACGCTTGGTGCTGGCTGTGAGCAGGGACTGCAGTGTCTGCCATGTCAGCCTACCCGCCAGCAAACCAGTTGGCGATCCATGGTCTCATGGAGGCTGCAAAGGACGAGGCTCCCTGAGCTCCAGCGAAGGGACAGCAGCGGGAAGACCTGGGGAGACACCCAGTTGTGTGGCTTCAGGGTGAGGGCTGCTGCTGTCCCTGTGTTGAGGCGCCCGCACAGCCCGAGGGACAGGCAGGCACCAGTTCTGAAGTGCCTGACGGAGCTTCCAGATAACTTGGGGACGTTGCAGAGCTCTCCGTTCTGTTTCTAAGGGGGTGCTGCTGTCAGAGCACACTCCACTGCGCCGGCCCTTCCCCTTCAGCGAGGCCTGTCTGGTGGGCGCACGGAGGGTCCCGCTGTGAGACTGGACTGAGCTCAGTCAGACGGCCTTGTCTTCCTGTCGCTTGGCTTCCTGTATTGCGGTGCTCTGTGTTCACTGCAGAGGCTTAGAGCCGGTTCTCTTGATGAATGGATACCTTTGTCACTGTGAAATGACAGTCTTCTCCACCATCTGCTGCGTGGGATGCTAATGTGTGTTCTGTGCCCTTTTGTCCTCCTGTCTGTCCTGCCTGTCGGGCGCCCAGTGTATGTCTGTGCAGAGAGGGCGCCTGCCCTGTCTCTAACGCGGGAAGTGCCCTCCGGGTGGCAGGTCCTCCCACAGCATCCTCTCTGGTGCTGGGAGCTGCTGGGGGGACTTGGTTCTCACGTGTGTCCGTCAGGCTGTGGGTTTGGGGCCATGCACGCCTCTGCGCAGCCGCAGGCCCTGAGGGGCTCCCCGTTCTACGTTGCTGTGGCCTCGCCTGCCGCTGGCTCGTGCACAGGAGCAGAGCAGGCCTGCAGGTGGCTGCCCCTGCGCCTCGTTGTGGCTGCGCACGTCTCTGTCTGTCTCTGCTGGAGGCTTCTGCAGCCTGTGCCTCTGGGATGCCAGGTCTCCCCAGCGCGAGGCAGGCCTCCGTTCTGTGGAGAAGCCGCAGCCCCCGCCCTTCACTCCTCAGTGTGGGGCCTCTCTCCCCTGCTGCTCCCGGACGTTCTGTCACTTTTGTGAGCCCTTGGCGTGTCGGGACGGCTGGGTGATGGTCTTCATGATGCTTCCCTGGGGACTGCGGGTTAAATGCCGTCCCCGGGCTATTCCTTCCCGTGTGAAGTCTGTCCCCGTCCCTTCTCTTTCCTCTCCTGGGCACTCTGGTCACAGAAGTGGCGGTGCCCTGCAGTTGTCCCAGCTGCAGCTCCGTCGGCCCTGCCAGTCGTTCCTACGTGTCACATGCCTCAGGCCACAGGGTCAGGCCCCCCCCCCCCCGTGTGTTCCCACGTGCGCGTGGCAGTGTCCTCTGCAGGTGGGCTGTGAGTGTCCTGCGGGTCTCCCCCGCGATGGGTGCATGCACCACCCTCACAGAGGATGTTGACCACCGGGTCCCTGGGCGCTGCTTCCGCCCACACCCCTCTCTTCGCTGCCCCTCCTTCTCTGTCCTGCATTTGCCCACCCTTTACCCACAAAGTGGGCACCATGTTCTCGCCTTGTGTCCTGTGACTGCTGCCCACCTGACCCTGCTCAGGGAGTCCCATGTGAGCGCAGGTGTGTCAGGGTCTCTGTCCCACCCCTGGCCACCCTGAAACCCTGTCTCTTCCAGTGGGCATCCCCACCATCCGGTGGTGCGGGGCGGAGGGGGACTACAACGTCATGGTGATGGAGCTGCTGGGGCCCAGCCTGGAGGACCTCTTCAACTTCTGCTCGCGGAAGTTCAGTCTCAAGACCGTCCTGCTGCTGGCCGACCAGATGGTAAGCGCTGCCTCGCGGACCCCCTCCCCCGCCTGTCCTGCACAGGGAGGAAGGAGGTGTTCATTCACTGTCGCCACGGGGTAGTGACATGGTGGGCTGGTTTGGAGAGCCACCGCGGGCACGGCACAGCTCACCCCGGTGTGGGGCCTGCCTCCGGGCAGATGGGGCCGCAGCGGGACGGCTGCTGCTGTCCGTCCCCCGGGAGAGCCCCCCACAGGGAACCCCCGGGTGTGGGTGTGGGTGTGGCTGTGGTGAGAGTGGTGGGTTGTATCCATCTGATGATGGAGCACTGCCCCAGCCAAGTGCCGACACGCAGCTCCGGCCGGGCCCTGGCTGCCGGCAGGAGCCGCCTCCACGCACTGTCAGGCTGACCCCCGTGGCTCTCCTGCAGATCAGCCGGATCGAATACATTCACTCAAAGAACTTCATCCACCGTGACGTGAAGCCAGATAACTTCCTCATGGGGCTGGGGAAGAAGGGCAACCTGGTCTACATCATCGACTTCGGCCTGGCCAAGAAGTACCGGGACGCCAGGACCCACCAGCACATCCCCTACCGCGAGAACAAGAACCTCACCGGGACGGCGCGCTACGCCTCCATCAACACGCACCTGGGAATCGGTGAGCCTGGCCACTGGCCCCGGCTGCCTGGCATGTCGGGCTCCGCTCGGAACAGCCGGCCTCGGGAACTGGGAGTCAGCACGTGGGGAGGCAGGCAGGCTGCAGGGAGGCTGAGGTGTGGGGCGTGGGCAGGTAGGCGGGGCTCCCTGGCAGCTGTGACACGGGTGTGGCTCATCTGGGAGCCACCGTTCTCTAATAGCACATCCGGGCAGATTCTTCAGCAAAGAATCCAAGTGTATTTTTTTGTGGTTTTTAGAGTTCATTTTCCACAGTGTGTGTGCTTGCTGCTGCTGGCTTGGGCCAGGCTTTACTCATTTCCTCCTCTTTCCAGAACAATCTCGAAGGGACGACCTGGAGTCACTGGGCTATGTGCTCATGTACTTCAACCTGGGCTCCCTGCCCTGGCAGGGGCTGAAGGCTGCCACCAAGAGGCAGAAATACGAGCGCATCAGTGAGAAGAAGATGTCCACGCCCATCGAAGTACTGTGCAAAGGCTACCCCTGTGAGTGGCCTCAGGCCTGCGCGTGCAGGGTGGCGGGAGGGTGACCCAGGCCAGCCCCTCGTCTGGTGGGTGGCCGGTTCTCCGGAACATCTGGAGCTGTAGCTCAGGGCGTTCTCCTTTGCTGTGCGGGGCTGCCTCTGGGACAGGTGCCCAGAGAAGCCACGCGTCTCGGTGCTGCTGCATTCTCCTCTAAAGGTTTTTTTATTGTTTTTTGGGGAGAGAGAAACTGATCGCTGCCTGCTACACGCCCCCTTCCAGGGATCAAGCCCGCAACCGGGCATGTGCCCTGACCAGGAATCGAATGGCAACCTTTTGTTGCATGGGATGACGCCCAACCAACTGACGCACACCGGCCCGGGCAGTGCTGCATTTCCTTAAACTTTCCCAGCGCCTCCATGCTGCACAATGTGGCTGGTGTTTCAGGTTCCCTGTTTTGCCCCTAAGTGAGGAGGGTGGGTGGTAAACAGTGACGTGGCCTGTTGCCGTGCGGTTCCCAGTCGGGGTGTTGCTGGTTAGCTCTGAGTGTCTTGTTTTACAGCCGAGTTTGCCACGTACCTGAATTTCTGCCGTTCGTTGCGTTTTGATGACAAGCCTGACTACTCGTACCTGAGACAGCTCTTCCGGAACCTGTTCCATCGCCAGGGCTTCTCCTACGACTACGTGTTCGACTGGAACATGCTCAAGTTTGTAAGTGGCCTCGCCAGCTTGCTGACCTTCCCATGCGGACGGGGTACAGCCCGTCGGCCAAAGTCTGCGGCTGTCTGGCTCACGTGCGTGAGGCAAGCTGCCTGAGGTTCGGGTTCAGAGCATGTTTGCTGCACCGGAGCTGGTGTTCCTGCCGGGAGAGGTTCCTGCCGCGGAGAGGTCCCCAGAAGCACAGTGCCCGTCGAGGGGAGGCACAGACAGACAGGCAGGCACGGGGGTGTCCAGAGCCAGACCTCTCCAACACCGTGTCCTCTCTCGTTGAGCGCTCATTGTATGATTGTTGCCATCAGTTCTCGGTGCCCGCGTGTTCCTTACGCAGGAGGAGCGGCTGAGACAGGCCTCTGCACCAGTGTGTGGCCTGGGAAGGTGCTGGGTGCTGGGCCTGACCTTGGCCTGCAATCAGCTAGACTTGTGTCTGTTCCTTAATTGCCTGCGGGGACGCTGCAGGGCGTGGGGGCGGAGTTTGAACTTTAATTTGTTCCCATCCAAGTTGGGTCTGTGAGTTGTTAGTTAATCTGCGGGCATCACAGCCAGAATCCCAGTTGTTTTAGAACTTCCCCTTCCTCTTTCATTAAAACTCGTTCTCTTTAGTTGTGAGCTTAAAATAGGAATTGGGACCTTTCCAAGGTGACACAGTCTGAGGAGCAGAGCCTCCTCTCCGGGTGCAAAACAGGAAGCCTTTCCCCGCCCCGGGCGCAGGCTCCGTGCGGCCAGCGTTGGGGCTACAGCCTCCGGCGGGGGGGAGAGTCCGCCACAGTGCCTGCCTGACACAGACCTGGCCTCTTCGTCCACGGAGAGCCAGGGGTGGGAGCAGGGGCCTGGAGTCTGACATCAGAGTGGGCCTCCGGTCAAAGCCCCTCGGCCCCGTGCTCATCAGGGCTCGGCCGACCTTTTCTGTAAAAGGCCACTGAGGACGTTATTTCGGCTTGGCAGTCAGCGGTGCTCAGCGGCCCAGCTCGGTGTCGCTGGAAGCCGGTGGGCGACGTATGGGTGAAGCGTGCAGAAGCAGATGGGTCTGAGCTTGGCCCGACGGCCGAAGTTTGCAGACTCTTGCCTGGTAGGGCTGGGAATCGTGTGTGAGCTTCAGTGTGCGGTCGCCTCGCTGTACCACGGGACATGCTGCGCCGTGCAGTGGCTTGGTCCTCCCTGGGAGTGGAAGTGGCTGCCTGTGCCTGAGTCTTCCACGTGGCCCTCCCAGGACAGGCCTGGCCTCTGCCCTCCTCGTGACATGAGCACCAGCGTCACCTTTGCCCTGGGCTTGAGGTCTGGGCCGAGTGGACTGCCGCTCATGCCTGCTTCTCAAACTCCCGACTTCATGCCCTCCGATGATTTCCTGTCCCTGTGAATGCTGACAGCAGAGGGCCCCCCGCTGCCGGGGGTTGGGGTTGGAGGAAGTGCTGTAGCCCTCGTGGGGTTTCTTTGCTGCCCTGGGAAGTCGGGGGAGGCCTGGCTGCTCGCTCCCTACTCAGGACTGGGATGAGCTGAGCGTTGCCCTGGAGGGAGAGACATCTCGCTGGCTCTGACTTGTTCCAAATGCCCTGGTGTCTCTCAAGTGGCAGGGACAGCCAAGGCCGTGGGTTGTCTGGCAGCCCTGTTCAGCTCTGGCCGCCTCTTGCCTGCCTAGGGTGCCAGCCGGGCCGCTGACGATGCCGAGCGGGAACGCCGGGACCGGGAGGAGCGGTTGAGACACTCCCGGAACCCAGCCACACGGGGACTCCCTTCCACAGCCTCGGGCCGGCTGCGGGGAGCACAAGAAGTGGCTGCTCCCACCCCCCTCACCCCTACCTCACACACTGGTGAGTGCTCCTGGGGCCCCAGCTCGAGCCCTGTGACCACCCCACCCCGCCTCCCAGCAGGCAGTGGGTTCTGTTTGGGTGTGACCTCGAGGGGAGCCAGCTCTGAGGAGGGACTGGGCTGGCAGCTGTGCCTCCTAGGGGTGCCTGTGTGTCCCTCTTCCAACTCCCGAGGGTGGACAGGCCAGGGAGCAGCCTGGGCGGTGCCTTTACGAGTGTCCGTCTCACAGTTTCTCATTCTTAGTACACACATCCCCCACCAGCCTCTCCGTCCCCATCCCTGACAGCATCCCAGCAGAGCCCTGGGCAGCCTTCCCATGGGAGACCCGCGCTGGCGTCCCCCTCGAGGGCCCTGCCCCCAGGCCCTGGGCAAGCTGCTGGGAAGCGAGAGGCGAGTGTTGGCGGGGGACCTGCCTGTGCTGCCCTGATGGCCAAGAGGATGCAGGTGGGGTAGGCGGCCTGGGTCTGCTCTGGGTTGTGTGCTGAGGACAGAGCCTTGGATGGAGCGCTAGGAGGCCTCACTCCCCGCCTCTCCCCTCCAGCTAACACCTCTCCTCGGCCCGTGTCCGGCATGGAAAGAGAGCGGAAAGTGAGTATGCGGCTGCACCGTGGCGCCCCCGTCAACATCTCCTCGTCGGATCTTACGGGCCGACAAGATACCTCCCGCATGTCCACCTCACAGGTATGCGCGCCAGCTTGCCGGGTGGGACACTGGCCCAGGCTTCTCTTTGTTTGGACTGGTCTATGGGCTCCGGGCGGGGTGGGTGAGGGCTTTGAAGGGTTGAGCTGATGAGGTGCCCTGGCCCCTGGCTGCTATTCGCCCCTGGGGTTGAGAGCCCCCGAGACCAGCTGTGTGGGTGCCGGGCGCGTCTCTGCCCCGCGGGGCCTCTTCTCTTCTGCTGCCCCAGCCCAAGCTGGCCTCAGGCTCAGCGTCCCCTGCGCACACTCGCTGCACTGCACCCACGGGCTCTGGGTGTCTTGTAGGCACACCCAGCCTTGGGCTCTTCTCCCCTTGGCTAGGCGTTCCCCGGCCGAGTCTGGCCAGGGGAGGGGCTGCTGGCAGTCACGTGGGGTGGTGGGCAGAGGCCTGTTGGGGCCCAGCACCTGGTGACGTGCATGGGTGAGGGTCCCCGTCTTGGCGGCCCTGTGCGCTTGTCCTCCGCATCTCCCTCTGCCCACGCGGGCGGCCGTTGCTGCGGTTCTGTCTTGCAAGCAGCTCTCTCAACACAGCAGCTTTTTCCCTCAAGTACTGCCAGGGTCCCCTTCCATGACAAGGTGGTCAGGCGTCAGGAACCTGCCCCTGCTCCCGCGATTGTTCTGTGGGGTGTCCTGGGGGGAAGTCGGGTGCAAGTGGCCCTCTGGTTCACTGTGATGCCACCTCGGTGTATAGGTCAGCTCCCGGGCCCCGCGGCCAGGCCTGGTGGATTTGGGGTGTGGCTTGTTGGTGAATGGGGTGGCGTGGGCATGGTGGCTGGAGAGCTGCGGGGCCTGCTGGTCTCTGGCAGAGGACCAGGTGTGCCCGACGGAGGCAGAGCTGACCTCCAACCAGTGACCCTGCTGGACACGGTGGGCTCTGGGCCTAGTTCTCCCGAGACTGAAGATGCAGGTGGTTTGAATGTGGGGCTTGAGGGGTCTGGCCGGGGTGATGGTCCCAGCCCTCTTCCCTCTCCTCAGGATGCAGCGGGGCTTCGGGGGCTCCTTCCCAGGAGCCCTGGAATCCATGAGTCAGCAGCCGGGAGCAGGTCCTGGGAGCTGTCCGCCCCACCTGCGCGTGCAGTGGCGCTGTGGCCCCGGGCAGCTCTGGCAGGGACGCCAGGGGCTCTGTGTGGACTCAACGTCTGCATGTTGGGGACCCAGCCAGCAAAGACCAAGGACCTTAAGAAAAGAAAGTGTCTGATGGGTTTGGGGTCACTGAGGAAATGGAAGAGTCAGAGGTCCCCAGGTGCCAGGCATTTACAGGTGGGAGTACAGCTTTTCTCCATCAGGCCAGCCTCACCGCTGGCCTCCCGTGCGCCCGAGCACAGCTCCGCGGCCATCCTGGGAAGGCATAGCCGCCGCGGCGAGCTGGTAACTCAGATCCTCTGCGCTCCTGTTCTATCTCCATCTGGAGGAGTAGAAGGTGGGCCTGTGCGTAGGGAGGTCTCAGAGGTTTGATGGGGGTGTGTTTCCCCTCCAAAAGCAGCACCTCCGCTTTTGTCACTGGTCACCCTAGAGGTTTTCTCAGGATCTTCATGTGGAGGACACGCCCCGTCCCAGGCGTGTCTGTCTCGGGTTCCTGGTCACCGTGGGCGGCTCCTTTAGGCTCTGAAAGGCCCCTGAGGGCCAGCATGAGACTCAGGGCGGGGCTGCCCCTGTCTGGCCTGGTGGTTTGGAAGTTATGGAGGGAGTGGAGTCCCGGCTTCCATGATGTTATAGCCTCCAACCACACTTGTTCCCCGAAGAAAGGGGGGTGAAGGAGAAGCAGCCATGCGTGTGTCCGCCTGCCTCCTCCATGGCAGCATCTCTGTGCCCTCCAGGAGGAGACACATCTGGTGCCCATGCGCCCGGCCCAGCTTCAGCAGGAAGGGCCTCAGTGCCGTCGTCAGCTCGCCGGTCAAGACCTGCTGCCCCTCTCCAGCTGGGTGTGGGGCGTTGACCCGTGTCCCTCGTCCTGACCCCTGGCCAGCCTGCACTCACACTCTGCAGTGGCCACTCCTCGCACCCACTTCCTTCTCACGGGCAGCCGTGCTAGACCAGCCCCGGGGGCCGGCCCTGCATCCCTGTCCCTGCAATGCAAGTGGCTCACAGGGAGCCTGCAGGGCAGGGCGTCTGGTGGAGGAGCTTGTGCGTGGTGACGTGCTCTGGAGCCAGCAGTGCTGGTGGGCAGCGCTGGTTCCGGGCCCTGTGTTGTGCGGCAGTGTTAGGCCACGTCCCGCCACCCAGGGAGGTCCCTGCTCGCCGTGTCAGTGAGGAGGTGTGTCCGGATGTGTGTGGTAGGAAGGCACAGGCTGCTCCGAGCAGTGACAGGCCGGCAGCTGTGCGTTATTCTCGCTGCTCGCTGCCCCCAGCCCCCGTCGGCCTTAGTGCAGGTCATCCTAGAGGAGCCACTGTCTGCTCTTGTTGGGGGGCAGGTGAGGCTGAGCTCCTGCGCGGTTCGTGCTGGTGGAGGCGAGGCCACGCTTCTCGGAAAGGCGCCTCCTGCGGGCCAGCCGGCTCCCTGACCAACAGCTGTCTTTTCCCCCCCCCTCAGAATAGCATTCCTTTCGAACACCACGGCAAGTAGCTGCACGTCTCCCGGTGGAAGGCAGCACTGGGTGAGTGTGCTCATGGCCGGTCTCTCCAACAGCAGGCACCAGGGCGGGCGGGGCTGGCCCCTCGCCCACGGGGAGCACACAGGCGGGCTTGGTCTTGCATGCCAGGTGCTGCAGAGTGAGGTCCCTCTGCCCAGTGCTCTCCCTCATGGATTCCAGAACTGTGGTCAGAGCCAGTCGGGGGGTGAGGAGCGAGCAGGCTGTAGGGGTTCCTGAATGGGTGACCCCAGGACCTGCCGCCGTGTGGGGAGCCGGACCCGGGCTCTGTAGGTGGATGCGCTGGCTCCAGTGGCCCTGGGACACTCCAGCCGCTGGGTCCGGGGTCGGTGGTCGGATCGTGTCAGTCGTGCTCAGCTGAGTGGCCGCGCTTGGCGGGGCCTCTTGTGCTCTTGCTGCGCGAGACTCCTGTGGTCTCCGCAGTCCTGGCTTCCTTCCACATTCGCTTCTGTCTTCCTCGTTTTATTTTTCCTTTCGAACTTGGTCTCTGCCCAATACCTTGTCTCTGCTGTTGTGTGTACTAACCCGTCGCCCAGCGCTGCTCCCTGCGACGTGCATGGCTGGGCTCCTGTCTGGGCCACGCGGGGCGGCTCCTTCCCTGGATGGGGCTGGCGGCTGGGCCATGTGGACCTGCTGGGGCTTTAACACTGCGGTGCTCTAGGAACCATCTCGATGGGAACTGCTTGTACCTCCCCCTGGGGGGGCCCCAGTGCCCATGGGGCCTGGCCCCCAGGCTACGGGGGGTGGCTGGGAGCCAGTGTCTCTCCTGCTTGGACTCTGTCCTGTCGTTGACGAGCTTCTCGGCCGCCTGCACGCCTCTTCCTCTTCCGTCTCCTGTCGCTGTTCTGCTGAGCACGTCCTGGCCGCAGAGGGAGCTCCTGGAGCAGCCGGGGGCACGGGCGTCCAGAGTGGGCGAGGCGGCGTCTGTCCCCTTCCTCCCAGGGCACCTCACTGACCAACCGGCCCAGCCTCCGGCCGCACGCTGACCTTGTCCTGTGCTTTGGCTCCGACAGATTCCCGGTCGGGTGGCTTCCAGTGGTCTTCAGTCTGTCGTGCACCGATGAGAACTCCTTTTTGCTGTGAAGGGCAGACAATGCATGGCTGATCTCCTCTGTTACATGGCTTTACTAGTGACGCTCCCCGGGCTAGGACACCGGGCGCTCTCCAGGCCACCCACCCAGCAACGCCCGTGGGGATACCAAACAGACTAAACCGGACAGACTCCAAGCGCTGCCACCGCCGGGCTCCACTGAGGCCCACGTGGACATGGTCCCGGGGCTGGGAAGACGGCCGCGTGAGTGCGAGACTCTTGAGACAACAGACTCCCGATGCAGAGCCTTTCGGTCCTCCCTGCCGCGGTGGCGCCCGCGACCCCTGATGAGTCTGCTGTAACCACCATCTTCTACTTGGTTCTGACAGTTTTGTATCATTTTGCTAAAAATTACTGGCTTAAATCTGTGTAAAGAAATCTTTTTATTGTTCTTGTCTGTTTCTGCGGTCTTAAAAAAGATGACCTCAAAGTGTCCCGCCTCAGACACCGGCGTGGAGCTCTGTAGACCAAGGTGGGCGCGGGCACCCTGCTGCCAGCGATGTTTCCTGCTTCTGTTTGGCGTAGTCCACTGTAGGGGGTGTTCTCCCGAAATTGTCACGTGTACACGTGTGTAACATGTCTGTGCGTGTGTTGTGTGCTTTGTTCTGTGGCCTCTCCTGGTTTTGGCCATCACTCCCTCCCACCGTAACTGAGCCGCCAGGACTCGAGTCGTCAGAGCCATTAGAGAGCAAGGGCGTCGCGGTGCTTCTGGCGGAGCCGAGCGCCGATCCCACCTTCCCAGACGCGGCAGCGGACGCCAGGTGCCTGGGACCCGGTGCCCAAGACTCGGAGGCGGAGGCGGCGCCCCGGGCCCTCCTGGGTTGTGAGCGGTTACTTTGCTGGTGGTTGTTGCCTCAATGCCTTTGGATTTGGGGGCATTTTCTAGACAGACTGTACATATTAGCAGTGCAGAGTGGCCCTTAACGTGTGCTAACATCTGTGTGCTCCACATCTGTCCACCTGGGGTGCAGGTTTGCCCAGAAAGAGGCCGGCCCAAGGGAGCCCCCTCTCCAGTGCCCAGAAGCAAGTGATCCGTGACTGAGGCCCAGGAGGGTGTGTCCTGCTTTCTGAGCCCAGAGGACGGAAGCAGGCAGGGCCGGCCTCATTCTCACCAGAAAGACACTCGCGGGGCCGGGCTCCCCGTGGCCCCTTTCCAAGGCGGTGGCAGAGTAGACAGGAGCCCTGTCTCGGAATGGGGTCCAATGCAAACATTCGTAGGTACTTGCACTCCCTGTCCCCCCTGCAGAGGTGTGGGAAACGGGGGAGCTCGTAGGACGCTATTAGCCTTTAAAGGTGTACAGGTCCAGGTCCCTCCGGCCCCAAGTCCCACAGCACAGGGCGCCGGTCCTGGGATGCCCGGCATGGGTGGGCACACCGACGCACAGCTGGCCACCCTGCAGGCGCTGGGGGACGTGGCTGGGGCGGGTGAGTCAGGGCAGGGGGCTTCCCTCTGGAAGTGTGAGCCATGGCACCCCACCCAAGCCCTCCCACTGGCCGCGGACAGTGTCGCATCCATCGCCCCCACACGAGCCAGTATCTGCAGCCTGTGTGGGTGGTGTGACCTGTGCATTTGTGTGACCACTGTATTTGTGTACTTACCACACCATGTAAATAATAAATATATGACGTCTACCTTTCTTCCCCGTCCCCAGCATGTGGTCTTTATTTCGTCAGCGTGAGTTTTCCGTGTGTAGGTCACTTTCTGAGCCTGGGCCCCTGTGAGCCTGGCGGGCAGGTGGATGGGCTGGGACGGGGCTGCTGCACTTGGCATCGGCCCGTTCTCGGGAACACGGCCGGCAGGGCACGTGGACCCGGCCCAGCCGAGCCTTCCAGATGTGCTGAGCACCTCAGGGTCCTTCCTAGTGTCCCCAGGGCATGACTCCAGGGGTGGGTGCGGCTACTTCTGCTGCTCCTGGCCAGCAGGGGTGAGGCAGCTCAGGGCGAGAGGGAGGTGGAAGTCCATGGGGGCACTCAGTCCTGATGAATGAGCCATGGGGAAATCCTGTGACAGTAGGCAGGCCGAGCCCCCCGCGGGAGAAGGGAGTGGGGTGCACAGCCCAGAGAGCGGGCGGCTGCTGAACCACAGGCCTTGGGGCTGGCCCTTCCAGACCTGACAAGCTTTGCCCAGGGTCCAATCTGGCCCACCTCACACGACGGGTCATAGAGGTAGGGCTGCGCCTTGACCTGGGAGTGCCGGCCGAGGGGAAGCAGAAAGGGTGCCGCCGGCAGGGCCCCGGGCTGCGGGCTGCAGGCTGCGGGCTGCGGGGAGGTGCCTGGCTGCGGCGCCGAGCTCCGGGCGGTGTCCTGACCTGGTGACCGAGCCCAGAGGTGAGCCCTCGCTTGCTTTTCGTTGCAGAGGAGCAGAGACGTGGCGTCTCTCCGGCTGCACTCGGCCCGCCAGGGCACCCGCTGCCGGCCCCAGCGCCCTCGACGCACCACCTACTGAGGCGGCCCCAGCGGCCTCCGATCGGGTTCCCAGCCACGCAGGCGCACTGGCCATGAGGGCAGGTGGGTGTGAGGGACCTGGGCAAGGCTCGCAGGGCTGGACGGGGAACAGGTAGGACCCCGGGTGCTGACTGTGTAGGGCCAGGCAGCCGCCTGAGGGGTGAGTACATAGAAGGCAGGACCCAGTGGTCACACCTAGGGGCTCCCAGGTGCCGGCGCAGGGCCCTCGACCAGCAGCCCTTGGGGTCCAGGCTCATTTTGTTGTTCGTTGAGAAAGTGAGGTTTGGGGGGAGCGGTAGACCACGCCCACACCTCAAGCCAAACTCCGCTCTTCTACACGCAGGTTTATTCCAGACTTCCAGGGGAGCAGAAGGGAGCTGTCCCCAGACACTCAGGGTGGCAAAGGGCATGGTGGGTGCAGTCAGGGAGGGAGGGCCTGGCCCCACCCTCTGATTAAACTCTCCGAAGGGTGGGTTTCTAGGTCCTTGAGCCCAGCTGTGGGCACCGGGCTCTCCTGGGGTCAGCAGGCCGGGTGACGGGTGCCGACGGCTTGTATGTAACCTAGGGCTTGGCTTCACCACAGATCTGCTTTGGAATGACACGGTTCCCACCCGCCACCTCCCCCGAGAAACTGATCAGGTGACGATCCCCTGCTGGGGGCCCCCCAGCCTGAGATAGTCCTGTTTGTGAAATAAATATGAACCTTGACAGCCTCCGTCCGGTTCCCTGCGCCCCGCCGCCGCTCCGAGCTCAGACGCTGGTTTCCGGGGTGTGAGCCACCTCCCCTTTCTTCTCAGGCTCCGCCTTCAGGAAGTGCTCCACCTCCCTTGAGTCCACCCCGTCCCTGTTGTCCCTGTCGTCAGCAGGGGGCTTGGGGCTCTCGCCCTCCTTGGTGGCCCCCGCAGGCCTCCTCCTGATGCAGAAGACGTTTCCGAGCAGCAGCACCAGGGAGGCGGCCAGCACCTCAGCCCCAGCCAGGATGAACACGTACTGGTAGACATGTGTGGCGTCCAGGAGGCGGCCTGCGGAGGGGACAGTGTCAGCATGGCCTGGCCCCCACCCCGGCGTCCCGTGCCTTCCCAACACCTGCTGGCTGTGCGCTGGAGGCTGCGGGTGGGGGGGTCGCCTGGCGAGGCCGGGCAGGGGGAGGGCTTCCTCCTGCTCAGGACCCTCCCCCAGCCAGTCCCCTCTCTGGGATGGGCCCGTGCTGGAACCAGGGTCTGGCCAGGGCTCCCCGAGGCCCAGCTCACCTCCGGACGGGGGTCCGATGAGCACAGCTATGGCCTCCAGCAGCAGCACGAGGCCGATGGCGCTGGAGAAGGTGTGGGTGCCCACGATGGCCATGAGCACCTCGAACTGCAGGGCGCCCACCATGCCGTAGGAGATGCCGAAGAAGACGCAGAAGACCACCAGGCCCCCGTAGTCGCTGGCCGTGGAGCCCGTGAGGTCGGTGAACCCGTTGAAGAACATGGCGAAGCTGAAGAGGTAGACAGAGTAGGGGCGCACCTTGGGGAGCCCCGCGATGAAGCCGGCGGCAGGGCGGGAGAAGATGTCCACGAAGCCCAGCACCGTCAGCAGGAAGGCAGCCCGTGTGTCCGGCACGCCCAGGTCCTTGGCGTAGCTCACCACGAACACAGGCGGCACGAAGAGCCCCAGCACCATGATGGAGGCAGCCGCCGCGTAGATGATGAAGCCACAGTTCCTGAAGACGCTCAGGTCCAGCAGCCGCCTGGCTGGCCTCTGGGGCCCGGGCCCCCCCGCCCCTGCCCGGGGCGCCTCCAGGGGCTGCATGAGCGCGGCACACACACAGCAGTTGAGCAGCAGGCCGCCCAGGATGAGGAAGCCCCCGCGCCAGCCGTAGTGGTCCTGCAGCAGCTGCCCCAGCGGGGACAGGGCGCACAGGAACACGGGGCTGCCTGCCGCCGCCAGCCCGTTGGCGATGGGGCGCCGCTTGTTGAAGTAACGGTTGAGCATGATGAGCGAGGGCTGGAAGTTGAGCGACAAACCCAAGCCTGCAGCAGGGGGAGCAGGGGGAGCAGAGGGTGAGAGCTGACCCTGGCCCTGCCCACCCACCCCTTGTGCCCCCGACACAGGCTCCTGCCTAAATGGTTCTTTGTGGGTCTGAGGGGCGTTAATGTGGGTGGGGAGACAGTGTGTGCACAGGGCCCGTCACCGCCGGACCCGCAGGAGACACAGACGGGAAAGAGGAACAGGCTGGCGCCGGGGTGGGATGACAGGGGACTTCACCTCCGCGGACCTGACCCGTCACCGTCCCCACGCGCCCTGCCCCACCCCCCTGGGCCCCGCTCACCGGTCAGGACGCCCGTAGTGAGGTACAGCTCAATGACGCTCCTGCAGAAGGAGGCGGCCACCATGCCCAGGGACGCCAGAAGGCCGCCCACCAGCATGACCGGCCGGCAGCCGAAGCGATTCACGCACACGCTGCAGAGCGGGCCTGGGGGGACAGCGTGAGTGGCAGCCCACCCTCCCCACGCCTGGCCCAGCTCCCCGCCCAGCCTAAGAGACCACAGTTCACATGAAGGGCTTCCCCGGTGAGTGTCTCCTGCTGGTGGTCCCCAGGCACTGAGAACCCACCGTCTGTGAAGACAGGCCCGACCTTGTGCGCTGGGACCACACAGCCCGGCAGGTGAGGCTGGGCCAGCGGCTCCCAGACAAACAGGCCCATCCGGGCCAGATGGGCCCCTCACCTGCCCCTGCCCCTCACCGACTCCTGGCCCCTCATCTGTCCCAGCCCCTCACCTACTCCTGGCCCCTCACCTGTCCCAGCCCCTAACCTGTCCCAGGCCCTCACCTGTCCCAGGCCCTCACCTGTCTCGGCCCCTCACCTGTCCCAGGCCCTCACCTGTCCCAGCCCCTCACCTGTCCCAGCCCCTCACCTGTCCCAGCCCCTCATCTGTCCCAGGCCCCTCACTTGCCCAGGCCCTCACCTGCCCTGGCCCTCACCTGTCTCAGCCCCTCACCTGTCCCAGCCCCTTATCTGTCCCAGGCCCCTCACTTGCCCAGGCCCTCACCTGCCTTGGCCCCTCACCTGCCCTGGCTGCTCACCTACTCCTGGCCCCTCACCTACTCCTGGCCCCTCACCTGTCCCAGCCCCTAACCTATCCCAGGCCCTCACCTGTCCCAGCCCCTAACCTATCCCAGGCCCTCACCTGTCCCAGGCCTCACCTGCCCCTGACCCTCACCTGTGCCATACAGCATGGCCAGCAGGATGGAGGAGATCCAGGCTGTGTCACTGTAGCCGATACCAAACTCAAGCATGAGCTCCTTGAAGAAGACGCTGACTGCCTTGGGGAAGGCGTAGGAGAAGCCTGTGATGATGAAGCAGCCCAGGAGGACGGCCCAGCCCCAGCCCCCGTCAGGGGCCTTGACACCTGTGGGGCCCTCGTCCACCACGGCCCCTCCCATGGCCAGGAGGGCGGGTTCCGCGTCCCTGAGAAAGAGAAAGCCAGGCTGTCAGGTGGCCACCCAGCCACCACCCAGTAGTGAGGACGGGCATAGGACACACCGAGGGCTACACCAGGCCATGCCCCTCCTCAGCCCAGCCCAGCCCCCAGCCGGAGCCCAGCTCTGGCCGCTCCCTAATAGCCCCGCCTGTGCCCCCACTGGTGCTGGGCCCACCCTCCTCCAGCGGCTCCCACTCAGCTGGTTCCAGGGGGCTGTGGCTTTTCTGGGCTCAGCCAGGGCTCAGTTCCCTCCTGGAAGCAGCCAGCACCCCTGCGCCCCCCCGCCGCCCCTGAGGCTGAGGCAGCCAGCACTGCCCACACTAGGGCGATGAAGGGACCTGGGGCCTGATCTGGGGGTGGTGTCCGTTGAGGCCTAAACTAGAGCAGGCCAGCCTTTCTCCCCACTGCCAGGGCTATGGGCTGCCCCTGCTGTGCACTGACCGAGGGAGAGCAGGGGGGGTAAAGATGGGGGGCAGGTTCACCCAGGGCGGGACAGGCCGCTGCCCTCTGTCTGCACGGAGGACCCCAGCTCGTCGCCCTGCCCACCCCACTCCTCCACCGTTAGGAGGCACAGGCCACAGCCCCGGGGGAGAGACTGAGGCCTCGGGACATTCAAGGAAGAGCTGGGGAGGGCAGCAGGGGCCCAGCCCAGTTGCCCTCGGAGGCTGGAGTTTAACCCCTCGCGTGAGGGCGGGGTGGGCAGGGCGTCCAATCAGCCCTCTGGAGAAAACCACGCTGGCCCAGGCTGCCCAGCCAGGAGGGAGCCTGCTGCACCCATCGCCCCACAAACCCTGCAGCAGCCCAGAGCTGATCCCCCCTTTAAATCCCCAGGAATTCGGCTTGAGGCCCTGGAACCTAGGGCCCGGCTTCCAGCTGGAGATCCCCCCACTCCCCCACCCCGTGCCCCTCCAGCCGATCCTGGCACCAAAAGTCTAATCCCAGATCAGCCTGGCGGCCCCTGTCCACCCACCTCACTGGACAGAAGCTGTTCCGGGGGGAGCCGCCTCCTGGTGCGGGTGTGGGGAAGGAGGCCCGTCACGAGGCCGGGCCGGTTCAGCGCCGCCTGCCTGCTGCCGCCGCGTCTGTCCGTCTGTCCGTGCCCGCCGTGTGCTGTGGGGAGACGTGATGTGTAGCATTTGCAGATCCTGTGGTATAAACACTCCACCTGCTCTGAGGCCAGCCACTTCCTGATGTCCTCTTCCCATCAGCCCGCCCGCCTGCCCCCAGGCTTGTGTCTGTCCTGGCCCTTTCCCTCAGACCCCCCTGGCCTGGCACCTCCCCCAGGTGGCCCACTATGCATCAGGGACCACAGGGACCCTGGGACAGGACTCCAGAGAGGACGAGGGCCTCTGCCCTGGACAGCTGAGCTCAAGTTCAGGGTGGAGGGCAAGGAATGTGGAAATAGGACAACTCCCACCCAGCACCCAGCACCCTCCCACGGTGCTGTGCCCTCGGGGGGGGCCGACCGACAGGTCTGGGGGGTCTGACTTGGGGGATGTTTTCCAAGGGCTTCCGTGTGAGTCCACGCAGCAGCTGCTGCCCACGAACACCACTGTTCTGTGACCAGACCCTGAGGGC